TAGATGCAGCTAAATTATCTCATGTTACAGCAGCAGGGCTGCTGCTGTAACATGAATGTAGGCTGGACTGCCAGAGACGTCGATCTTCACCTCAATATCGACAGACATGTCTTTAATCCCGTATTCAAGGAAAGCTGTTCCAGCTGAAGGTCTGGTCCCTCTATCTTCTCTACAGCTTGTTGGATTTGCCACAGGATTCAGTTTAAAAATTGGTTTCAAGCTATAAACTAACTGATATGTCTGTACTGTGATGAAACACATCAATGCTGGTGTTAATATTAACATTTCCTACCAGAATCTTTGAAAAAAATCTGCATTTCATAGTTGTGAATGGCTTAAAATGCCATCAACTGTTTTAAATCAGTCCTAATTTTGCCTTTAGGGACTGATCTCCGTCATGAGCTCTGATAATGTCAATGCCCTCTAATCAGACTCAAACCTGAAGTTACACTTTAAGTGGAATGGAAAGAACAGATATGAAGAAGGTATAATTGAGAATCAAACCTGTACGTATTAATAGGTACTACTTAAGTTAAAATATGACGCTCACCAGTCAAGCCATGTGACCTGCCCCACTCTGTAAAGCATGGCCAACTGCTCCCCCCTTCAGATACCTGAGGCTCTCCACACAGCACTACAAGATCTGGCACAACAAGGAATTCTTAAGGATATTGTGTTTTCTGGAAGAGAATATCCATAACCCTATGGCACTTCTTTTGAAATGTGTTGTTTCTTGGGTGTGGCATCATATTATCCTGGTATATTTACCGCACAGCGACACACCAAATTCAATCCTGCAGCAGGGAAACATGCAGCTACACAACTGCTTAAAGGTGCTTTCTTTGTTCTGTGAATGTATGAGAAGTCAAAGAACTCTGAGAATTCAAAGTTGGCAAAATTAGATTAAAAAAACGAAAAGAATGTAAGACAAATGTAACTTCTTGGCATGCAATGTGAAGGTGAATGGCATCCACTTTGCTTTTGTTCGCACTTCATCCGTGATCGACTAACAGCACTGCAGTAAAGAAAACGGAGCAAGCAGTAGCTTCAGGAAGATTTCTGAATGAAATGACTTTTGACCATCAAGCTGGAGACATTTTCATGAGCATAGGTATACATATCAGCATATATAAAAGATTTAGTATCACAATGTAAAAACAAGATAAATGGCCTGTGTTAGCTATAAGGAAATTATTATTTGTTGCATAGAGTTTCAAGGAGCTGGAACAGAAAATAAAAAGCAAATGAAACAAACCGACCAACATGAAAATCACAGCAGTGTTTCATCTCCAGCTTCCTCTGATTCACACCAGCATGATATTGTCACCATGTAATAATTGTCTCGGTTCCTGAGAGGAAACATGGTGCACATACAGGCTCCACGTTATCTGCACATCAAGTCCCGGAAGCCGTTTTTAGAAGTCACTTTCAGATCAAACTCGTCTATACGGAAACCAAATACGTAACCAGACGGAAACGCATCCAACAAAACTGTTCGACTGCACTACCTCCTGCTAACCTTCCTGTCTCAAGTGGTGGATACTAATCCAGACACAACTGTGGCTTTTGTTTGCAACAGTATTTCTGCTTATCATTGTACAACGTCTGTATAAAATAACCGGCATGTTATTGATGTGTGCATGTGTGGGTAAATACGTGGTATCTGCATCTGCACCTGCGGTTTCACAGCCTCAGTGAGGAAAAACTCAAGTTTCATTTGCTTAGAAAGCCGTTCCCCTCGAGACACAGTGATTGATGCATCAGACAACCAACCCAACCCTCACTTTGAAGCACATCAGTGCGGTGACTCAGCAGTATTTCTGAAGCCAGCTCTGGTTTGTGCGATGGCGATCTCCGTGCGGTGGAAGATGGGAGATGGCATTTTGATTCAGTGAGTAAAATCTCATGGCAGCCACGCGGTCGCATCTACCAAATGTATTCCCATCTGCTTTTCTGAGGTGAAATGAAGCATGCAGCAGGGGATTAGATAAATATCTATGACCCAATAAATGCAGAGCAGTAGTCTGAGGTGTTCCAACAACGACCTGGCTGACTGCTCCGAGGCTGGAACTTGCAAAAAGCTGCGTGGGCACACCAGACTGGGATACAGCAGACTGGCCTGCTGTAAGCCTTCAGCTTTGTCAGGGAGAAATCTTGAGCCAGCCTCCTTTGTACAGGCGGTTCAGAAAACACCCAAAGACGTATGCAGGAGGAGAGACCTCCTGACGGCTCATTTAACATTCTGCCTGCTTCCACCCACCTCTCTGACGTTAGCCGATTGTTTTATGAAAAACACAACAGCGGTGCCATCTTTTTCCTTTTATTTTTCACTCACTTCCACCATTATGGGTCTTCACTGTACACAGTAAATACCAACCCAGAAAGAATAAGTGGTCTTTTCTGTGCTCGTGCCCCCGTTCCTGACATACTTGAGTCCGGCCGTGTACATTAATAAATGATAGTGGCAGCGCTGACGGGATTCACGCCCGCCTGGGCACCAGCTGCAATTATAGCAGACATGTCAGAGAGATGCAGCTCCTGCCGGAGACAACCCAATCAAACACGACGACGCCGCTCTCTGGATGAGCGCTGGTTGACAAATAAAGTCCCCTCGCTCTGATAGCGGGCACAGACCTCACTCCTCCAGACTGGCTGGGACCCGTCACTGCAGACCGGCAGGGTCTACGGGGGCTTAAGGGTTCACGCCTTTTTACCAAAGGTGCCACAGAATGAGGCCAGCCACTGCATCCTACGCTCCAAAAGCCAAAGCTCCAACATTATATCAGGCCAAAGGGTTTTATCTCGCTGATAACACTTTACAGCAGTTACCATAATTACCATGCAGTGGTGATTATGGGAAACAAGGGTTTTCTTTTAAAAGCAGATTTTAAGAAGCGATAACTAAAGGTGTTGCACTATTATGGAATGTACTTACTTACCTGCCCACTGTTATAATGGGACAAGATTCATTGATGACAAATGTTCCTTAATAATAATAATAATTCAGGCCTACTTTCAGTTACAACCAATTTATGTCCATATATGTCACACACGCATGTAACTATTCTGGATATTATAATATATCCTGTAATGCTCTGCACAATAAACACGCACAGAGTAAAACTGAATAAGTAGAACATTATTCGTGAGAGAAGGAAACGAAAAGGATCTGCAAACCTTTGTCTGACCTGAAAGCCCGAGGCCTCTGCTTTTATATTACTACCAGTTGCTCATTCAGCATTTAAATGATAACAAAGACCATGAATATTGATATTTGAGATGAAATAAAGCTTTACATAACACACACAAACTCAAACATAATGAAGACCTATAAATCCTTTTCAATACTAACCCTTCTAATAAGGAATACATGATGTCTCTTCATCCCTGTATGGTTGTTTGCTCATTGCAATGTGAAAGCATTGAGCAGCCTTGTGGTCTGGTGAATATGAACACTCCCTAATTTAGGTTTGTGCTGCCAAATCCCCTTTGGCTTGTTGCTTGGCACTAAACGTCATAAAGCTGCCCAAGAGTCAAGCCAACCAACAGGCCGATGTTTGCATATGATTATATTTACTCTCATTTCCTTTCATTTAGAGATGAAAGTAAGGTTCACTTTTTAATATTAGTGGTTAATCTCTAAAATGATAGAAAATAGTAAACAAAAAAATGACCATCATGTCTGCTAGAGCCCAATTTCATGCCTACAAATAACTTGTTTTGCCTGACGGTCCAAAACTAAAGATATTTAAAATACAATGTTATAAAACATTGAGAAATCCTTGTTTATTCTTATAGATGAATCGACTAATTGTTATAACAGCAGTCTTAACCAGATACTCTGCAGGGCAACATTCATTGTCCGTAATGATCTCAGGGTTTCTGATTCTTAATGCATCTCAGTGTACAGAGACAATCCACATATTACACAACATATATCCTCTCTTATTGAGACAATGAGGATGCTACACTGTTGTAACAGGAACAAAATATACTGTGTCATGCATGACCCCCCCTTATACTGGATGATCAATAGGACCTGCTGAAGGCCTGAACCATGACTAATGTGGTTCAGTTGGCTGCTCCAGACCTCTGAGTTATAGACGATAAACAGACCTGCTCCGTTCAAAAGACAACGTAAACCTAAAGATTCAAATCATGTCTCATCCAGCTCTGTGCGGTCTCGTGAGAAACTATTTTGTTTCAACATTGAAACCTCAAAAAAAATAAAAGGCACGGATAAACCAAAGACGGGTCTCCACAAGATGCCATAATGACGTCTTAGTGTGTGTCATGCAGATCTTACGCTAAAACTATACTTAATAGATCAATTAATTCATCATGCACGAACACAAACTTGGTCAGACTGGAACAACTCCAGGACAGAGACTGCAGCCGCACAAGTTCTCTCATCTCTGAGGAGCTGGGTGTGTCTCCACACAGGAACCTTTACCAACTCGCATCATCCACGGCATCAGAGGCTGCACACGGGCTCTACATGCAGATATTCAGGCTCATGCACCGAGCATTACTCATGTCAAACCGACGCTGTGTAGATCTGAATAGTCTGGGGTGTTTCAAAACTAATCGCCACCTTAAACGCCTCACAAGGCAGAGATTAAAGCTTTATTACAGCCTCTGTAATATCACTGTTAAACTTAACTGCAGGCTATTATTCACACACACACACACACACACACACACACACACACACACCAGTCTATTGTGTGAAGCTGTAATTTGATTTAAATCACGCCCTCCCTTCCTCACCCTCTCTCTCACAAACTGAAAGCACACAGTTCACCGGTGAAGACATGTTGTCTTTATCTTTCCGTTTAAACCTTACTACTCAAAATAAAGATAGAACCTCCGGACTATAGCGAAACGTAACGTTACGACTCTTCAACGAGATGAACTCGCTGACTGGCCAGCAGGTGCAACGGGTTCACTTGACACGCGACCGAGACCGAACTTCTCGGGAGAATTTAAACATGTCTCACCACTTTGCTCCCCCAGAAAGACGAGTTTGAATTTTCTTAGAGGGTTTCCAAAATCACTGCCAACAGACATGTTGAAGAGGAGGAAGTCTGGACACCGGAGGACAGCCTGAGTGGACCCGTGTGTTCCCACTCGAGTTCTGCGTTGGTTGGTGAAGATGCTGGGTGGAAAAGGCGGTGGTGTTGCTCTCCGTTCAGCGCCCGTGATGGGAACACACTACTGCTGCTGCTGCTGCACCGGTCCGTGATGGGTGGTGTTTTTTTACTAACCCGAAGGCTTCTGCGCATGCGCGGCCTCTCCTCGTTCTCCGTGGAAAGACAGCTGTGATATAAAATGACGTCATGCGAGTCGGAGGAGAGGGAGAGGCCGACATGACAACCGTGCTGCTGGGCCCCGGTTTCATCCGTCTGGAAGAACTTCTTCACTTGGCTCAACACAAATTATGCGAACATGGGTTTATACGTGTCAATCACGCTAATAGTTTACACTTAAAGGGGTATTCCAGTGATGTGGTATTGCACTCCCATAGTTTGTTAACTCATAAGAGACAGGTGTAAAAAAAAAAAAAAAAAATTGTTAAAATCAATGGTCCACAATGATTAAAACACTGAATTCTACAATTTCCCAGAATGCAACTTGATAGGAAATACCGTACTTGCCTTTAAATGAACCTCTGTAGTTTACAGCTGTGACAACCCTGATGACATCATGGTTATTTTCTCAGACTTTAGAAATATAGAGACATATATTCGATATCGATTAAAGTGCTATGTCCAGATATTTAGTCACTTACTCACCTGTACATACTATATTTACTGTGTACTTAGTGCACAGAGCAGACTAGACACATTTCACACAGACTAATCAGCACTCAAATGCTACTACTTATTTTTTATTATATATTTATTCATATTTATTTTTGTGTGTAAGTTTGTTTGCAGTCAATTGATGAAATGCAACTTAATTCAGGAATATGAACCAAGTGAGCACAATCTAAACTACAAAAAAAGGTCTTCAAATGTTGTCACAGGGACCCCTCTAACACACATATGACCACACTACTATCTAAAAATAAAGGACTCACCTTGGCTGCTATACTGTACTCAAGAGATGGAAATTAGAAATTAATTGAAATACCAAAACCACTGGTGCTGTAAAACTTGGACATTTGGTTGGTTGTCTAGCCTTTAAGACATAAACACAGAAATGAATAAAGGACTTCACGCCGACTTGATTAATTGTACTTTATATTAGCCAGTACACATTTATGCACTCCACTGTAACCAATATAACCACACCAGCAGCGAGCATAATGTGTGCGTTTAATTCAATTTACAAGAAACAGTGTACATTCTTGATATCTCAAAATTCATAAGCATTGCAATTCAATCAAGTGTTATATGTGATCATGGTATATATGAAATTAGTATTGCAGTTATCACAGATGTCTCAGTGTATGAGACAAACATCTATAAAAAGATAAACTTAAATATTAAGCTAATACATTTAATTAGTTACAGAATATGTTCCCATTGGAAATAGAAACCTGAACAGATTCCTCCCTTATAGGAACAAGTAATAGACAAAGATATGTACGTGTTGTTTGAACCCATCATAATTGTTGAGGTACCACACAAGAGAGGTGTTTTAGCTGTCATCTCTTAACTTGTAATAAGTGGGTGATGTTGTCAGAGTAAATCCAATCATAAACTTTAAAGCATCCAAAAACATTACATCTCAACTCCAGCCAGTGAAGCACCAGGTGAGGAAGTGGGCCTCCAGAAATTGAGGTCAGTGCAGGCATGTCTTGGCTGCGGCTTTCTCCAGCTGACACAGCTTGGCTCTGCAACACTGTTCTCCGGCATGTTTACCCACCACAGCAGAACTTCAGGGGACGCAGAGGCTTGGAGCTCAGCTCAGAGCAGTCCTTCTGGCCTCTTCTCCAGACTGTACACCTGGGTCCGCTTGGCCTTCCACCCCAGCATCATCAGCAGGACGATACCCATGACCTTGTAACCCACCTGTAAGCCCAAGTACCTGCAGGGATCAGACAGATGAACACAGATGAAGACAGATGATGTCAACAGTGGTGTGGATATATTGTCTGTGCGAGATGCGCTCCGAGTGGTGCGTTTTCTAACCGGTTCCTCAAGATGTTGTTGTCGTAGTAACCACAGCTAAACTTCTTTCCACACACGCGCCTCCACCAGATGCATGACGTATCGATGGCCGTCCCGAAGAGAGCGGGGGCGGGCAGCCAGGCTGAGAGGGGGACAAAGAGGTGAGTATGTAGAGAGTAAACACATTTCTATCTCCATGTGGTTGAGCTAGAGCCACTAGAGGGCAGTCCAACATTTGCTTAGATGTTCTGATGAATGGAATTCAAAGTTAAGTTCAATTTTGTGGGAGCGCTGTACAGCAGCCCAATGACACTCAACTGTACAAAGCCCTTAAGTGTGCAATATTAAATGAATAATAGGCAATGCAAATTAATATATAGCCTAAATTAACCAATTTCTCAAGTTTGTGAGAAAATTTCAGAAATTAAACATTCATATAAAATATTATTTCATCACTGTTATCATCATAATTACAGAGTTTTATTGGAGTTCACTTGTTATTAATTCATAATAGCAGACTTCCCATTGACACCTTTATTTCATGTTATTTCTAAAATGAAACTTGACCTCCTATTACACGGTTATTATGAAAAATAAGAATAAAGAAATAATTTTATAATAATTAATTCAAATACTACGTAATTTATTTGATCATTAATATATTTTTCACAATTTATTCATGCAAATATTCATTTCTGACTGTTTATTTATTCATTTAGTTTTGGACACTTTGAGGCTCCATACAACGGTGAGCTAGGAGGACATGCTGGGATTTGGAGGCTCTATTGGACCGTTTGACAAACAGAAGCTTATCGTTAATACAATAACTAGTTATTCATACGAGTATGGCGCTACACACAAACAGGATTTGTGTCCTGACTTACCTAATATTCTCATGAGTAAAAATTGAATTCCTATCGCAAATGACTTCTCTTCAGAGGGAACACATCTGAAATGAAGAGGAAAAGTAATTAGAAGGTCAATACCTGTGTTTTATATTGGTGCACCTTGTCATTCTTCAATACAATAGACTAGACAACAGCAGAAGTGACAAATCATATTTCATATTTCAAAAACAATTAAATTAAACAATTCAATTGTAGAAATAAATCAGATTAGGCATCTTTAGGCAACCTTGCAAAGCTAATTTCTCATCACATTTTGAGCAGTAGTCTATGGAGCATTCCATCTCATAGCTCTCCTACATTCAGAGCCCACTGAACTCCTGTATTAACTTTTGTGTTTGACTTTATTTTGCAAAGGTTTTGTAAAAAACAAAAGCTACTAAGTCAATTGTTGCTTAAAACAGTATTAGTAAAAGACTAGATTAAAATATATGATTCATATGATCACAAGTTAGAGTTTTTACTCTAGGACAAGCACATTATATCATCCATTAGATACATTTTGGTCATTTTGAATCTAAAAGGAATAACAAGAAATTAAGAAGAATACGAGAATACACTGTAGTACATTGTTCTTCATTGTTCATCCTTCCTTACCTGAGCACCATCATGTACATGGGGTTGTGAGTGAGGCAGGCGATCAGTGAGGCCAGGGAGATGACAAGAATGACGGGGAGGAGGAGGTGACGACAGTTGTTCGGACAGGGAGCAGGCTGGGCATTACTCTGGCTCCCTGATATACACCTGCAGTTGGTGTACAGCTGTATCCAGACAGCAAGCAAACATTATTGTTGTTATCTCGACAGAAAAAAAGGTTTTTGGAAATATATTTATTTGCTTTCTTGAGTGTGAGATGAGAAGGTCGACGTCACTCTCATGTCTGTATTCCAAATATGAAGTTAGCAGCCGGTTAGCTCTAAACTTGCTCTCAGCTTCAGAGATGCTGCGAGGTAGATTTGTACCTTTGGACAGAGCCAGGCTCGATGTTTCCCCCCGATTGCATTCTTTATGCTAAGCTAAGCTAAGCTAATTTCCTCCTGGCTCTAGCTTCATATTCAGCGCACAATCATGAGAGTGGCATCGATCTTCTCATCTAATTCTCAGAAAATTAATAGCTTTTTCTGTGAAAACATGGAAAGTACATGTACCTTACTTGTATACAGTAAGAAAGGTTGGATTTCTGCAGCTATAAACTTCAGCTATAAATATTTTCTACATTTAAAATGGATCTTTCACCCTCAAACTACACCAAATACTTTTTTGGCTGATTTATTCAAGTCAAAATGCAGCAATAGTTAATGAAGACGATTTCAGACCTTATTGATTGCACATCTGAGTGCAAGAAGAAGAGAAAATAAATATTCTGAGACTTCTTGGGATTAATACATTAGGTTGCTGTAGCCATCCCTGTTTGTGTTTGTTGTGCAGCATTAAACAGCAGGCTGACATGCTGACTAATAAAATCTATTTGCAGTTTCACACATTCCACCCACTGGAAGATGATTCACAAGCTGTGACGTCTAAATACTGACGTTTCGTCCCTCTAAAAACACCTCCTATACGCTCTGTGACTAATAAGCATTGATCAGACATTGATTGTGAGAGAGTAGCAGAGCAGTCTGTTCTGACTGCTACTATACTGGAAGCTCCTGGCTCAGGAGACACATTATGTATTGTATGTCTGCTGATATGAAATGCATGTTCATTTAGCAGATATGTCACAAAGTCTAAATATGGGATAACACCCCAAAATCTTGTTTGTGTCCCAGTTCTAAAGAGGCATCTTAGGCCAAAGTCACTTCCTGTTGCAAGTATCGTCGTAAAAGGGACAGTTCACCATAAAATCTAAATACATGCATTTCCTCTTACCTGTAGTGCTATTTAATTAACAGTATAGATTGTTTTGGGGGGGAGTTGCCTAGCGTTGGAGATATGTCTGCCTTCTCTAGAATATAATAGGAATTTATGGCACTCAACTTGTGGCGTGAAAAGCGCAAAAAGACACATTTGAAAAACTCAAGAGCAAAGCCTCTTTCCTTTCTTTCCTTCTGCACCGCGATACTGCACGGTATTTTTTTTGGTCCTTTGAGCACCACAAGCCAAGTGCCATCTAATTACATTGTATTTTAAGGAACGCAGGCCGATATCTCTAAATCTAGGCAACTCACGCCAGAACAATCTAGATTGACAAATAGCACTACAGGTAAGAGGAAAAATATGTATTTTTGTTTTTTGGGATGAACGGTCCCTTTAACAATGGGAAAAAAATGATGACAAAAGATCAAGTCTACCCTTTTGATGATCAGATTTAAAAACGCCCTCAATGCAGCGTAAGCTTTCCCTACGGCACTCTGTCCCAACACAGTTAAAGGTTAATTACACCCTCACAGGCTCAGTTACAGAGCCTGTAGGACAAGAACCAAAAACATATTCCCTCATCCCACATTCAGAACAATTATATTCGATTAGAAGAGACAATTATACACTTTTTCTGCTGTAAAAACAAATTGTATATATTCTTTTTGTTTTCAGTAAACGTACCTAGCATTCCTATCTTACATGATTAGTCTGCATCCGGTAATTTCACTTATTACTGCTGATGATTTATTGTATTGTTATTCTAGTGTTGCACAAATATTCCCCAAATTAAAAAAGGCAGCGAAAAGTCAAGTTGTGTTGATGCAGCCCACTATCACAAGCATACTGTGGGACTAAACCATGGTGCCAGGTGCATAGAAGGGGCACTGACCTGAACCCTGTGGGTGTTGTTCGGGACTTTGGTGAAGTTGGTGCAGCCCGCATGGCAAGGAGAAATATACTCGATTCCATCAGAGCCACACACAGGGTTGAAGGCACTGGCGGGGCAGGAGCAGTTGGAGTAGCACAGGGATAGGGACCTGTGGAGGGCAGAGAAAACAAGTTTAGAACAGTCCATGTCTATTAGCATGTTGGCTTTTGACTCGACTACATCCTAGTACTTTGTGACTTTATCAACAACAGCAACCTGCAGTCACAAAAGGTTTAAGCTGACCATGCTAGCTTAGACATGGGAAGAGTTTTTCTTAAAGGGACAGTGTGTAAGATTTGGTGACAACAGACTACCCCTCCTCTCACTCCTCCCGTTCCAAGACTGTGGCGCCGTGAGCCGCTGAGTGCAAAACCGTGGTAACGCAGTTCGTCTCGCTCAGAGGGTATCTGGTTTAGCAGCCACCAGCTCACGTTTCACAAGTGTGTCGGAGAACTACGGCAGCTCTCACGTAACGTAAAAAACGTGAAACGACCTCTCTAGAGCCAGTGTTTGGTTTGTCCTTTCAGGGCTACAGTGGAAACATGGCGGTGCAACATGGCGGACTTCGTGACAAGGACCAGCTCCGTATGTGGTTTGAAGGGCTCATTCTAAGCTAACAAAAACCTGACAATTCTTAGTTTCAGGTGATTATACACTGATTAAAACATACATTTCTATATTTGATATTTCTGCTAATAGATCCACCAAAATGATACACACTGGACATTTAAGTTGCTTCAAAAATTCCAATTTTGATGACAACATATTTTTTTTTTGTGCTGTCAGACCATTAAAGGTGCCCTGTGGATTATTTGACCACTAATAGTGTTGTATGTTTTTATGAGCAGGACCCCCAATTCGTTTATCTTGTGCACAAACACAAACACACACACACACACGCACACGCATGCACAATGCAATACCCTTTCTTGTCACAGTTTCAGGCTGCTCCACTGATCTACAGTCAGTTTCAGAAACGCGCCAAAAAATGTAGCAATGTGCCAATAGAAAGGCAGGGAGAAGGACCACTACAGGCAAACGTGGGTGTAAACAATGCAGGTTCCAAAATACTGACATGGAAGTATTTTCATGGCTGGGCATGTTGAAAGGTAACACTGGCCCATTTTAGCCCAAATCCTGGCCAGACTAACCTACAATTTCCATATTAATGACCTAAAACAATGAAAACCCTCATCATTGGAATGACCCACCCTTCTCACTCACCGATACTGTCCGATCTGGTAGTGATTGACCTCAGACACTTTCTGCGTGGGACAGCCCATGAAGAAGAGAGGGATGAAGAGGAGGGTGGACATGGTCAGCATGGCAACGGAGAAGCGCGGGATGGTCTTCAGGGAGAGGCCGGCCTTCTTCATGATGACCCCGCCGATCAGCATCCCCACCGCGACAGATGGCAGATTCACAGCACCTGGTAACCGCGGACAGCTCAGTGATCGGCATGTAAATTTCCTAATCGTTGTCTACTTCATGTGTCATTTTATGCGTTTCCTGACATTGTGACACAAATAGCAGGTGCAGTCTGTTCTATTGTAAAGGTTAAAGCTTTAGAAAGGAAGCAAAAACCCAAATAACATGATCATGTGGGAAAAGGTGACAGCACAAACCTAATTCACTCTTTGGAAAGTGGCCATAGTGCAAGCAGGCTGACACACTCCACAGTGTCCATTAAATACATTTAACAGACTGTTTCATTTCCCCCCCAAAGTTCACATAAATGGTTCAATACAAACCACGCTGTACATCATGACTTGAATCATCTAACTGCTGACATTGATTACAAGCAGTCGACTGAAAGTAGTCCATCGTGGGATCTGTTCCTGAAGCCCCATCTTTACATTTGCACTTACCTACTAGCAGGCTGCTGTCGGCGGCCGATGCACTGTACTGCCGCTCCAGAAACTTGTTGAGGAACGTAGCGAGGCCCGCGATCACGGAGGAGAAGCAGCACTGGGCCAGGACCAGCATCAGGAAGAGAGGGCTCAACAGGAGGTGGACAAACATTCTGGGAAACACTGATCAGACACAAGCACACACACTGATTACTACTGGCATCGACTTCAGTAGAAACTCCCTCTCTCTCTCTCTCTCTCTCTTATCTATCCATTACAGGACATGTTAAGAAAATTAAACTGTGTATCTAACAGGTGGAACCTTTGCAATCTGAATCTAATATACTTACTTTTCAGGAAATCCAGTAAGGAGACATCTGGCTTCTTGAAGTCATCACTCATGTCCGTTTCACTTCCAATCACCTGAAACATAACATGCAGTATAAAACTGTGTGTGAAGGCAAATATCTGCTATGTAATGAATACAGTTGTACCAATTCTAAATTTAGAGGGCCGCTTGCAAAATCACATCAGCTCTGTTCTTAGTTGGGAAGCCTGAATCATCGGTCATCTTACACCCCCTTTGTTTGTTCATGCTGCATTGGTGACGTCAGTGACGTGGGAACATTAGAACTGACTTGACAGCTCTGTGCAATAGCTCCACAGTGCTCATGCATTCAAAATTACCAGAAGCTGTCAAACACCACAATGGAAGATTTCTGAGTTTTTGTCTCTCAAAGTTTTTTTATGGCTCTTTCATACTAAAATACATGCTCTTAGTTTTAATGTGTCCAAATGTATTTAATTCTACTGATTTTAGAGTGGATTTTAAAGGGTTGGTTCAGATGTTTTGAAGTGGGGTTGTATGAGGTCTACACGCCTCCAGTTCGACCGCCATCTACTGTAGGTAATACATTCACAATGGAAAAGTACCTCATACAACCCCAGGTCCAAACATCCAAACTATCCCTTTATGGGTAATATGGCAAGGATTTGTCAAAGTTGGCCCCCCCCCCCCCCCCCCCTCAACAACCACCAAAAAACAACCACCCTCTGGTCTCCAGCGGGTGAAAGCCATCCCCAGATTCGCTCTCGTTTGAGCTTTGTCTCCTTGGAGTTTCTCCTCGCTTTATTTGCATTTTTTGGCACCGTTTCCACGGCTTACTCTTTGATGCGTGCTTACGATCTAGCACCTGGTCGCTACGTCCAATCGAGATTGACGCCCAGAAACGTCTCAAAAACAGCAAAATAAGAAAATGCAATGAGAAGGCAGAGTCTCTGCAGATACAGACACCGCCATACACTTCTAGTCTAAGGGATGACTGAGAGGGATCTTTTTTTTCTTCTTCTTCTAAACATTGTTCTTTTTAGGAAAATCGGACTCATTGTACCTTTAAGTAACACCCACTACAACAACAGCTTTATTCTTTTCCCTGAACAAAGTTGGGAGAGCCAAAATGTGGTTTCACTCACTGGGGACAGAATCCTGCGTCACATTGTCAATGACTATCTGATGTTTTCTGCTGATTGTTAAAAGGTCAAACGTAACTCACAAACAGTTCTTGGGAACTGGAATGTGTCCAGTAACATGACATGTCAGTTATAATGTGGCGTAATATGTTAACATTGAGAAACCTGTTGTGCCTTCAAGACGGTGAAAACCCAGAGGAGTAAAACGCAATGCTGACATACAGCCAGTAGGTGTCAGTAAAACATGAGCGAAACGCTGCAGTTCACTGAATGATTGGTCATAAAACAGGGCTGTTTCGTCTCTGAAAGATCCTTGTGAGTGTCTTACATTATCGTCTGAAGGCATTCTGCGAGGGAAGAAGAAGTAAGGGATGGAAGTGAGAAGCAGGCAGGCGGAGGTGATGAGCAGCCCCATCCACCAGGCCCCCACCCAGCGGGGATCGCTCGGTTGCAGCTCGAGTTCAGCTCCTGCAAGGAAACGTCAGTGGACGAGTGAGTCATCCTTCTTGCTGTAACCCGACTGTAAAATAACTTTGGGATGCCTGTAAACACATGATCATTACCTAAACCAATTTTGTCCACGTCCACATAGATCCGCAGCATGAATGAGCCCAGCAGGTAGCCGATGGCAGGCCCAAATACAGATACTGCAAACAGGATGGCTGCGAATGATAAAGCCAATGTGAGGCAGAGTTTATGTATTATTAAGTATTCTTGAGCTGTTTTACAATGTTCTTGTATCGCGACACAATCTGACTTTTTGTCCAAAAGGCATTATTGCTTGACATGGTTTTGTGTAGGTTTGTTTTGGCTTTTATGCATTAATAGCCCCAAAATCAATCTCGACGCAAAGCACCAATCAGTGTGCTGCTCAGAATGAACCAATCAGGTTTAGTCTCTCTACCAGTCTCCTCACAGCTCTGTGACTGAGGATAACAAGGATGGGAAAAAAATCATGATAAACTGCTTAATCTTAAATTTAAAAACGTGCAACTTGCTGATTGTATCAAAAACATTATGCCACATAATAACAAAAACATAATAACATTAGCTGGGATGAATTCAGGTTTCTAGCTGCTAAACATTTCAGTCATCGGATGCTAACTCTACCATGCTCCTAACTGAGGTTGTTTCCTTTTGAAATTTGTGTTGCACTGCAGCAGACACACTGTCTGAAAGTGACTACACCCAGAGCTCAGAACACTGATACTGATCTATCTTTTTGTCCAGGCAACAAGGGTAGGTGTAAATGTGGGAGAATAAAAGATGTTAGCGCTGGAAAGAAGATCAGCAGAGAAGACAGAAAGAAATGCAGAGAGAAAATGTCAGAAAATTAGAGAATTTCTTTGAATGTTTGATTGTGTAAAATGGCATTTTTACAAAAGAATTGATGTGACCAAATGTGTCTGAATATAAAACATGTTTATGTGTCCAAATATCTTATATCTTTCATTATGCCTTCACAAGTTATTGAAACTTTCAACAAAATCATTGCTTTTTGTTCTGCCTCAGCAGACAGAATATTATAGTATATAGAAAACCAGTTTAAAAATGTAATAGGATTTTCATATTACGTATTTAGAGTACTTTAAGGATGCCTATTATTTTGACCAATGAAAGAGAACCTTTCCAGTTTTGCTATGTGAGATATGAAACATTTGAACCTCAACACCTAAAAAACACTTTTTTTTAAAACCTCAATGTCACAAAATACATGTTTAAAATCTGTATATTAAAAAGCTTTTCTAAATGAACAACTGCAGAATCCCCGAGGACGATAGCACCGTGTACCTCAGGTTGTGTTCTCTTTTATCCAAACAAATCTACCGCTGAACTACAGGCCATTCACCTATGTAAAGAGGGGAGTTGCCGGGCCCAGCATAGTCATCTATGTAGGAGATCCCAAACGGCTGGATGGGCACCGAGCCCACGCCGAAGAGCAGCTGAGCGCTGGCCATGAGCAGCCACAGGTTGTTGGTGTCGGCCAGGCGCCTGGACTCGTCGTGGCCACAAGACTCCAGGCCGCTCGAGTTCCTCTGCAGGTTGCAAATGTCGTGGCGATCTGGATCACGACAGGTGATATGTCACACGCGGACGGGGGAGGAGAGAGAGAAGAGAAAAGAAAAAAAAAAAAAAAAAAAAAAAAAAGAGTTAACGACAGGCCAGTGGATGCAGATGTCCAGCTCATTTCCTGAAGCCGCTCTGGCCCTTCGCTGACTCTGTCTGCGGGTCAATTTAAATAGGAAAGAGGGACATTGCTTTTACAAATTAAATGCCTTGGAGGTAACTCTAATGTACTTAACTTTCAGGAAGTGCATAGAGATTATGAATTTCCTTCTGTTTTTTCCAAATTTCAGCTGGAGAGCACCGGCGGGTACAAAAAGCCAAAGAGCAGGTACTTGTTTGACTCCCGCTGAGTGCTAATGGAGACTTCACTGAGACCAACCCTTACGTGAAGTCTCATAAATTGCGTTGACATATTTGTACATTCCAGAGTCCCCCTGCTCTGGACTGAGTCACACCAGCTGTCACAGCGGTGGCCTCGCATTCAGGTGTTTGTCTTACTGTGTAATACGGAGTCGTATTCGTAGGGCTGGGATAAGAAGTGAGGTAAGGTCAGCATCATGGCGCTGACGGCCATCAGCAGG